ATGCAAAGGCGGTTTAAGATCCGTGATTCCTTCTCGGGTGCCTGCACAACCAGCACCGGGTTAGCTGAGGGATGTGCCCTGAGTTGTTTTGGAATGTTGCTGTTGGATGATGTGCTGCACCGCTATGTCCATGCGATGAATCCTAGTGTTCGGGTGCTGTCTTTTGTTGGCAACTGGGATTTCTTGACTTTCGACACCCAAGCTTCACTTGTTCAACTGGACTTGCTTTTGGATTTTGCCCGTCTTGCTGATCTCACGGTTGATCGTAAGAACACCTTTGGTTGGTCTACCGATGCTGCCACCCGTGGCCTTTTCCGACGTCATGCAGTGCCAGTCAAACACCATGCCAGAGACCTTGGGGCCCACGTGGCATTCACTAGACAGCGTACCAACAGAACGGTCACAGACCGCCTGGCTGACCTTGAGCCGCTTTGGGAACAACTCCGCCACAGCAAAGCCAGCTTCAAATCCAAAATCAGGGCCCTCCGTACGGTTGCTTGGCCACGTGGCTTGTTTGGTGTCGCCTCGGCTCCAGTTGGTCGCGCTGTTTGGCTTCGTTGTAGGCGGTCCGCTACCAAAGCCCTCTCTTTCAACAAACCTGGAGTCAACCCAGCTGTGCTTTTGGGTGTTGTTGAGTCGTCTGTTGACCCTGAGTTTGTGGCTTTAGTTCAGACTGTTGCGGACACCCGTGAGCACTGTTCCAGGGAATTTTGGACTTCTGAACTTTTCCCTGCGGCCATTGGGTCTTTGCCTTGTCCCCCCTCGTCACCCACCATGGTTTTGCTTGAACGTCTGCAGACTGTTGGTCTTTCCGTGCGTGCTGATGGAACCTGGGTAGATGAGATTGGTTGCTTCCAACCGTGGCAAATTGGACATGCTGAACTCTACCACGGTTTACAGTGGGCTTGGCAAAAACATGTCGCGGCACAAGTAGCCCATCGCAGTGACTTTGATGGCCTTGCCCGTGTTGATGCGCTGACGACTCGAGTTGCCTTGAGTTCCTTGCCAGTTGACCAACAAGCACTTTTCCGCTTAGGTCTTTCAGGAGGTTTGTTCACCCAGAACGCACATAGCCATTGGAATGGTGCTTCTGATGCTTGCCGTTGGTGTGGGCAGACCGATTCCCTTCACCACCGGTATTACATCTGTCCTCAGTTTGGTGACCTGCGTGCCAATTTGGCTCCTGATGTTATCCGTTTGCGTGATTCCCTTCCTCCTGTGCTTGCGTTGCGAGGCTGGGCAGTCCACCCCTCCACTCATCTCCAGTGGTGCCGGTTGCTTGACAGTTTGTCGCGTGCAGTTCCTCAGCTTGGTTGTCCCTTAGCCTTTGACACTGATGGTTGGAATCATGTGTTTACTGACGGTTCATGCCTGTGGCAAAGCAACCCTGCCTACCGTGTCGCTGCCTGGGGTGCCGTTTTGGCTGTTCCTCCTTCCGCCCAGTGGTCTTTGTCAGTCCGTGGCGTCCTTGGTGCTGGCCCGTTGCCTGGAATTTGCCAAACTTCGTACCGTTCTGAGTTGTACGCTCTTGGATTTGTCCTCCACCATGCAGCTCAGGGGGGCTTCCGGGTTAAAATTTACTGTGACTGTTTGGGGGTGATTAATAAGTTTTACCTGCTTACTCAGGGCAAGAGAAAGCTGCGGAAAACTTCTTCATCAACTGACCTTTGGCAGTGTGTTTTGGACTCAGTGGAGCGCTTGGGTATGGAAAAAATCTGTCTGCGTAAGACAGCCGCCCACAGAAGACTGCAGTCAGCTACGACAAGGCAAGAACTTTGGCTGTACTGGAACAATGGGGCCGCAGACAGAGTTGCCAAGTCGGCCAACCTGGACCGCACGAGGGTTTTTTGGACCTTTTGGGAAACACATGCCGCATGTGTTGCTGGCGCAAAGGAGATCCATCGACAGATCGTCGCCCTCCACATGGCGGTGGCAATGAGAAGTGTTGCTGCTGAAGCGGCAGTGACACTGGATGAAGCAGAACCGGAACAACCGCAACCAGTGCGGGAGTTCGACATGGAGTTTCAAGTTTCAGCTTGGACCGGGCAGATCCCCCTTGAGTTTTCCCAAGAGTACGGAAGTGGCCTGTCCCGGAAAGTGACAACATGGTGGTCCGAACGGATCAAAGGAGCGAGCACCACAGAGCCGCGCTGGGTGAGCTTTGCCCATCTTTACATCGATTATCAATTGACCTGGGGTTGTGCGGGTCCCATCAAGACCGGACGGAGCTGGGCTGATTGGGCCACAAGGCCGTACATCGAACCAGAACGGAATGATTTCCTTCTGAGGGTCAAATGGTTTAGGCGTTGCCTCAAAGTTTTCTGGCGCACTACAGGACAACGGGTTGGACTGGCTCAATGCAAGCCGATTGGGACCAGTATTTCGAGTTTTGTCACATGCGCCTCTCTTTGCTGGGATGAAGCGAGCTTTGAACAAGCTGATCGATGGATTCAGGGGCACTGTGCAGCTCCTTGCACGCGCGGCTCGCGCGCCTTGGTTGGCCTACCGTTGGCACTTCAGTCAGCTGGTATGGCCCTCAGTTTCAACCTCAACAGTGAGGGTGGAAGCTCAATCTGAGCTTGGACGAGGCCAAAGGGCTTCGCTCCGACCCCTGAGCAAGTCCGGCTGACGGAAAGCGGAAAGTGGTGGTTTGGAACCATGGAATTTGATTTTCCATTTCATATATGGGATGTCATCCCAACCCCGTTGACGAAGTCCATCATTTTTCAGAGGGTAGGCTCAACCACCAACCAGGTTTAAGATGTTTTTTCGGATATTCCCATTCAACATATTCAATAGTTGGATTGATATCACATAATCCAAGATGTCCTTAAGATATTCGACTTGAAACGGTGATTCACCCGAATTTCAAGTCAACGAGTCAACCTGCTGGATGGATAGTTGAGTTTAGTACGACTTATTCTGGGCGGATTTTTGTTATTTGTTGTAGGGCATCTTTTTGAGTGACCCTGACTATACAATAGATATATTAGCGAAGAAACATGATAAACATGGGTGACATGATTGACATGTTTGCTTATGAAACTTAAAAATTGAAGCCTTGTTTACTATGTCCATTTCTACTGTTGGTTGTATAATCACAGTAGTATCCCTTTGTTTGGGTTATACCCCTATTCAACCATTTGTTTTTTTACCTGTTCATTGTTAGTAATGGGACTATTTCCTATGAATAATATTGCCGTAGTAAGTAAGGGAAACCTTCCCAAAATGACTTTATTTCTGATTGGGGAAATTTTCAGAATTGCCATGAAAGCAATGCCCACTTGGTCGCTGTGGTGGTATCATGGAAATTATTTTGGAGAGAGATTCTGTAACTCGGTAGCAGTAATTTGGATACCATGCCAAATTGGAGGTCTTCATATAGCAGTGGTTTACCACATCAACTGATTTACCCTCTGGTAAACTAACATAACTATGGAAAATCACCATTTTTTGAATGGGTAAAACAACTATTTCTATGGCCATGGCTTCAATAGCTATTTTGACATAACCAGAGGGTATATGAAGTGGTTCAATTGATCTCATGATTCCGTAGTAACTGTAGGGATGGCGAGAATATGGTTTTTTGATCCCTAGGGATCGGTCACCGATATCAGATTACCATACCACGGATGTCTCCAACTGCACCTAGGTAAAAATGGTTTCTGGATGAAATCTCCAGATTTTTAATGCTGGATTCCAGCTGGATTTCCGTGGGATTTTTGGATTGTTCGAGTCGATTTTGATTTTGTTTCCGAATCCGACTGGCGACTGGGGAATGGGTCACGTGGATTTCTTGGGGGGTTCCGCATAGCAGATCCATGCAGATCCATTGGTTGTTGATTTTAGATAGATTTGCTGCAAACAATACATGAAACTACGCCCTGAAAATGATGCTTTGAGGCTTTGATTTTTATTCCCACATCAAAAGGTATCAGGTACCAACACGTTCAGCAAGAAATCTGCAGAGATCGACATATTTGGGGGATGCTTTCATCAAATTTGGAGGGACCAGGGATATGACATCGATCATGAGTCCAGTTCGGGGATGTACGGTGATATTTCGCCTGGGAAACAATACTTAGATGGGCCATGATCTTTGTCAACTGCTGATCATAGGGTGAAAACCCAAACATCATTATAAATTATAATAGGTGTTAACCCAGCTATTAACCAGTTACCCTCCAGTAAACTAAGATAACAAGGGAAAATCATCATTTTTCATAGGTCAATCATCAAACTAAATGGGCTAATTGTTTATGACTCAGCTATTTCAATCTACCAGAGGGTAACTCCCCACTTATAAGTTGGTGTAAAAACATCCGTTAAATATATATACCTTGACCTGTTTTTCTTTTTATTGGTATAGTATAAACCTTGGTTTTTTATTGGTATAGTGTATAAACCCGGTGTTTCCAGTTGAACTTGTCATTTTTTAGGCTTTGGAAGCCAAGGGTATTTATATATATATGGGTAAATTATAACGACCTCACTGTTCTCCCGAACACTGGAATCATAGTTAATTTTAGGGACATCATCCCCTTTTATGGCCTTAATTATTTAATTCAGGTTAGTGACATATTATATTTTACCCATATATATATATACTGGTTGCCGGTTTGGAATATTTTTTTTCCCATAATATATGGGACAATCCCAACCACATTGACTTTAAGTCCATCATTTTTCAGAGGGGTAGGCGAAAAACCACCAACCAGCCCATGTTTTGCAGGTTAACTTCTCCTTGTTCATCCATATTCTCGTTAGTTTTTCACATTTTACTGGCATGATAGACCCATTTTTTCCCAACCATAGCTACCCAACCTAGTAATTTGTTACATAGCTATGGAAGCCATGGACCATAGAAATAGATGTTGTACCTATGAAAATGGTGATTTTCAATAGCTATGTAAACGTTTACCAGAGGGTATATGATAGTTGACATATTCACCATAAACGAGTTCCGAGTTCACCCCTTTGTTGCGTCAACAACCCGTCAGGCGTTGAAGGCCATCGACACCTCAGGCCTTCGTCGATCTGTGGTGATTTTTTTCGCCCAAAAACGTGGATGTCGAGTTTGATCTCCTGGGATATCATGTGGTATTTCTGGACTTTTGAATGTTTTTGATGCCCAGAACATCCCCATGGTCTACATCATGACATCATGGTATTCAACGATATTCAACGGGGCATCCATGGGGTTTTTAAGGGATACAAAAAATGGGATTTTTTGGGGGGTGGGTATTTCTGAAGCCCTTGATCTCGAGTGAATATGATTCGACGGTGAAGATTCGCCCTTCATGAACTCTTTGGATATTTTTGGGATGTCTATTTTCGGGGGTGTTTGCATCAATGTGCATCCTGATTTGGATGTGGACGGCCGGGGTTTGCCTGGCTACATTCCAAAATGTCCATGGAAGATCATGAACTATTGAACCATATTGAACCATTGATAGGGCTATGAAATGCGATTAGTATATAACAAAGCCAGAACAAAACTAGGCAACTTGAGGTAAGAATCCCATTTCATTCCTCCCTCAATTTGTCGAAAGTTTACATCACATCACACAAGCTCTCAGCATTTCAGGGTCAAACCGTGTGGCAATCAAGGTTTCCTTGGATCTCCCCTCCAGCAAGTCAATAGTTCTTTGTTTATATCATACCTGAGTGCAAAAAAAACATCCATCCCCAACTGGTTGGTGGTGACTGGAACCATGGAATTTTATGACTTTCCCATCATATTGGGAATTTCATCATCCCAACTGACTTTAAGTCCATCATTTTTCGGGGTAGGCGAAAAACCACCAACCAGCCAATGTTGCAGGTCAACTTCCCCCCACCCATCAAATCTGCGGTAAAAACCCGATCTTTCGCAATCTTTCTGCGGTAAAAACATGTAAAAACCCATGATTTCCCTATGTTTCCCTCGTCAAAATGGAGCCCATTGACGACGCCGTGCCTCCGTGCCCAGCTCTGTCGTCAGGCGCAGTGCCTGCAGTGAAGCTTCTGGTGCGCCGAGCTAGTGGATTTGGCACTTCCCTGCTCCATTGGTAATATTACTATGGAAGTCATAATCCAATGGCTACTCCAATTGGTATGTTATTTCTCCATATGTTACTATATAGTTTATTATCAATTGGTAATATTTATTACTCCAATAACTTTTTGGCTTATGGCAATACGCAAATAACTATGGTATTCATCTGGGGTTTATAAACCAACAAACATACCATATGGTTATGACTACTGTAACAGTTTGCCATGGAAAGATCCACCATTTTTAAGAACTGTAAATCATCTATAAATGGGCCACCCCTACCATGGCAAACTATTAAATAACCAAAGGGTAATATTGATGTTTATCAAAGTGGCAATTTCCACATCACTGTCTTTTGTTTCTAGTTGGATATAGTTGGATAGTGGTTTATGGAATATTTATTAACATGTACCACACAAATCACCCAAGATGTAGGTGTAAATAATGGTAAATATTGGTAATCATGCCATACATGGAGCATCTGGGATTGACAATTCCCGATAAACGGAGGTTTCTAGCCGGGTGCAGTTCCACTCGTCACGATTTTTTGTGGTTACATAACCATAGTGATAGGGGTTATATTCCAACTTCTGGTCGTTATAAACAATAAGTTGGTAATAACCATATGTTTGAAACCACATTAGTAGCCAGAAATTGTTATTACCAAGTTATTACTCCCAATAAGTGGGTTATGCATGGTTATATAATAATAGTCATATAATTGACAACCCCAACTGCACCCGCAATCTGTTCCATGAAAGCCATTTTTTGAGGTTCACAATTCCGCCATCGTGTCCAACAAGTCTCGTAGATGGGAACGTTCCCTTCTGTCCCTGGCAGATGCTCGACGACTCGATGATTTTGTGATGGGATTTCATGGGATTTCATGAAGATTCATGGGGATTTGTTTTACATTCTGGTAATTTTTTACATTAGCATAGCTATTGAACATGGTCATTTATCGTTGATTTACGTATTAAAAATGGGTTATTTTCCAGTTCGCGAAGTGTTTGTTTACAGAGGCTTTGATGGGGGTTGGATGGAGCTTCAGCTTCAGCATATGGGGAAAGCGATGCCGAACCTACCTGGGTTCAACCGGGGGGAATTACGACTCATAGGTTCAGCCAGTCAAGGGATGATGGGATGGGAGGAAGTCCTGGGAGGCGGATTCTCCAGGCACTTCTTGGCACTTCTTGGGGTGTTTTTATGGTTGGTTGGTGGTGACTGGAACCATGGAATTTGATTAGACTTTCCCATCATTTTGGGAATTTCATCATCCCAACTGACGAACTTATATTTTTCAGAGGGGTAGGTATACCACCATCCAGATAGTGTGACATGATTGAACAGCATTTGTGTTTATTCAAGACCCTGGTTAAAAAAAGCTCACCCCTCACACGGCGTAATATCATGGAAGACGTCAATCCCAGCTGTTTATCCTCCCCAGTGTCATGGTTTGACGCTGTTCCCTACGCAAGTTCTCTAGAGGCTGCAAAGGTCATGAGGATTCTTTGCAAGTCTGGAACGTGCACTGGGAACCCTCAAGCTTTACCTGAAACTTAAACTGGTTGGTGGTTTCAAACATTTTTTTTCTGTAATATATGGGATAATCCTTCCCAGCTGACTTTCATATTTTTCAGAGGGGTTGAAACCACGAACCAGATTGTGTTTTGCGTTTGCTTTGCGCTGGTCATTTCGTTCTTGATGAATCAAGCCCAGACCCGTACACGTGTGGAACCTTGATGCTTGGAACCGTGGAACCCTAAAACCCTGGTAATCTAGAACTCTGGAACCTCGAAACTCTCAAATCTGCAACCTTGCAATTCTGGAAACCTGCAGCAGTGGAATCCTACCCGGAAAAACCCTTGGAACCTTGCCTGATAACATTGCAACGTTGGAGCCCTGGAACCAGGAGCACGAGTTTTACCAGATGAGAGGTTACAACTGCGACTTCGCAAACAATCTCGAAGGATGAAAGTTGAACCTCTACCAGGCCGATTCCTTAAAGCCGCACGTCTGCCTTTGGCTTTCCAGGGAACTTGGCTCCCTGCAGCCTCGCCGCCAGAGGTCCCTGGGATCATTGCACATGGTGGGGTTTTCCACATCGAACTCTTCGTTGGAGGAGAAGGTGACGTCCAAGATATGGTACGCCGTGCCCGGGTACAGCAAGTTCCCTGCTATCAGTGCAAAATAAGTCATTTTCTCGGGGGGGTTGGCACATGACTCAATAAAGCTTCAACACTCACACCACGGAACTTGGTGATAACGATGGCAGCAGAATGCATTCTGTGTTTTTGGAGGATGTTTTTCAGTTTCATTCTCCTTTTCATGAGGGACACACAAACTAGCTACGATGATTTCTACAGCCATCCTTGGCTGAGTGCTACCTGCTACTGTATATTATGCAATGATAATTTGAGCTGGGGCTATTTGGGCACTGCACAGCTCAAAATACTGGATGGTTGAAAAAAGTCACTAGCCTCCATTAAATTCACCTAGATGTGGTATAGATGGTCCATTTACAGATGATTTTCCCAGCTTGAAACCTCCATTTGGAGCGGGGATTCCCCAGCTAGCCATGTTAGTTTACCAGAGGGTACACATGTACAGGTCAGGTACAGTACCCCGTGGTGTCGCCATTCCAAATTCGCACACTGATGGGCTGCTGCCATTTTCTGAATGAGGTGATTTTCATAGCATTGTATTATATACAAGGTGGTGCCCCCCTAATTATAAATTGATTTATAATCCCCATTAAACTATAGATATATCATCTATAAATACTAATAGTTTTTGGAGTTATTATAGCAACCCCCACAAAGATTCCGAACAGTGTTGACAGCATGGGGCCCTGTCGATGATGACTTTTCCACATATTCTTCAGGTTTCCACCTCTTGGGCATCGCGTCAGGTTGCTATACTACAAATACAAATGGCTGCGTCTGAAACTTTCAGGATACCAACAACATCATTGTTTTTCGCAGGAAACATGACAATATATGACAATAAATCATGTTTTTTTTCTATAGTGCCCTATTTTGACGGAAAACCTGAGGATATTTTAATAATCCGTCCACGGTGCGCTGAGGGCTTGAGATGCGAGGCTCTGCAACCGGACATTGTGAGTCCCTGGGCTGACGTTGGACGTCGGCGGTGGTAACTCATGATGTACAAATGAAATGTGGGTTTAAACAAAAACACCCATGCAATCGATGTATATAATATGTTCGAAATTATTTGATATACATATATATCTATAATTATTATATATATATAACCACAATCCCGTTGTCTATTTTTGTCAAACGGCCCTGACCACGTTTTTTTTTGGTCATTTCGGCTTTGATTTGTCGAAAAAATGTGGTTTTGCTACCAGTAGGACTGCAACATTCTTTCGCTTTGACCATTTTGTCGGGTAAACAAACAGTACCAACAAAAGCTGAACGTTGCGTTTTTTTCCCATCATGACCAGAAAATTGTGGGTGTGTGGTTTTCCCGGTATGTGTATGTATAATTATTTTATATATATATTGCATTTTTTTGGCATATATTGCTATTACCATATCATATATTACCATAAAATATACTACCATATATTATACATATAATATTACTATTACAATATTACCATATTATATTAGTATTTGTATTGTACATACAATACTACTATTAGTATACATAGGGGTGAATCAATGTGATGACTTTTTCATGCTTGCGCAATGTACACATTCCAATGTATGCTACCTTTCTATGTTTCAACTATTGCAATGCCCAATGGTCCATGAAAGCCGAAGTATATACAGACTTTAGCTATATCATTGTATCTCTTGTGTATTTGTTGCCAATCATAGATTGTAACAACTATACCAGTTACATCAATCATAGCATTTTATCTATTGCCAATCGCAGCAATATCCCTATGTACATGAACACTATATTCTATAATTTTAGATTCCCAGTGCAATACAAATCTATGCAAATGCATACTGTCCCACACACTACCTAGTGTACCACACCATACAACTCTACTATAGGTTATATATATATACAATATACACTACTTTATTAATATACCATTATGAATACTATTCGATACTATATTCCATACTATATTCCATACTATATATATATATACACTCTACTATACTGACTATACTATACTGTACTTTTTTCTATGTAGTAATATTCACCCAGGTTTTGGAGCTTCCAGTTCTACTTGGACGAAGGCCTTCGGGCTCTTGAAGGCGCGTGGAAAACGGGCGAAGGGTTGGGTGGATTATGATGGTATGGAGAAATGGTGGTTAAAACATCGTGAAATCCCGAAAACAAGATGAAGCCCACGAACCCGAATGCTCACACGTATGTTAATGGTACAGATGTCAAAACACATGGTTATGCAGTCACGCACAATACCTGTCTGCAATAGTTTATTTGAACAGTCTTGTGCATGTTTCCCTTGTTACCAGTCTGCAGTGTGGAGTGGAAAGTGTAGAGTGTGGAGTGTAAAGTGTGGAGTGGGGAGTGTAGAGTGTGTAAAGTGCAGAATGCGGAGTGTAAAGTGAAGAGTGTGGAGTATGGAGTGTAAAGTGTAAGAAGTGTGAAGTATGAAGTGTAAAGTGTAGTGTGTGGAGTGTAGAGTGTGGAGTGTGGAGTGTAGAGTGTAGAGTAGGGAGTGAGAAGTGTAAAGTGCAAAGTGTGGAGTGTGGAGTGTAAAGTGAGGAGTGTAAAGTGTGGAGTGAGGAGTGTGGAGTGTAAAGTGAGGAGTGTAAAGTGTGGAATGCAAAGTGTGGAGTTTGTAAATTGTAGAGTGTGAAGTGTAGAGTGTAAAGTGTAGAGTCTGGAGTGTAAAGTGGAGAGTGTGGAGTGTAGAGTGTAGCGTGTGGAGTGTGGAGTGGAAAGTGTAGAGTGTGGCGTGTAGAGTGTGGAGTGTAGAGTGTGGAGTGTAAAGTGAAGAGTGTGGAGTGTAAAGTGTGGAGTGTAAAGTGTGGAGTGAGGAGTGTAAAGTGGAAAGCGTGGAGTGTAAAGTGGAAAGCGTGGAGTGTAAAGTGTAAAGTGTGGAGTGTAGAGTGTATAGTGTAGAGTGTAAAGTGTGGAGTGTAAAGTGTGGAGTGTAAAGTGTAGAGTGTGGAGTGTAAAGTGTGGAGTGTAAAGTGTGGAGTGTGGAGTGAGGAGTGTAGAGTAGGGAGTGTGGAGTGTGAAAAGTGTGGAGTGTGGAGTGGAAAGTGTGGAGTGTGAAGTGTGGAGTGTAAAGTAAGGAGTGTGGAGTGTAAAGTGTAGTGTGTGGAGTGAGGAGTGTAAAGTGTGGAGTGTGGAGTGTAAAGTTTGGAGTGTGGAGTGAGGAGTGTAAAGTGTGGAGTGTAAAGTGTGGAGTGTGGAGCGTAAAGTGTAGAGTGTGGAGTCTGGAGTGGAAAGTGTAGAGTGTGGTGTGTAGAGTGTGGAGTGTGGAGTGTAAAGTGAGGAGTGTAAAGTGTGGAGTGTGGAGTGAGGAGTGTAAAGTATAAAGTGTGGAGTGTGGAGTGTACAGTAAAGTGTGGAGTGTGGAGTGCGGAGTGTGGAGTGGAAAGTGTAGAGTGTGGAGTGTGGAGTGTAAAGTGTGGAGTGTGGAGTGTAGAGTGTGGAGTGAGGAGTGTAAAGTATAAAGTGTGGAGTGTAAAGTGTAGCGTGTGGAGTGTGGGGTGTGGAGTGGAAAGTGTAGAGTGTGGTGTGTAGAGTGTGGAGTGTGGAGTGCAAAATGTAAAGTGTGGAGCGTAGAGTGTACAGTGTAGAGTGTGGAGTGTGGAGTGTAAAGTCTCAGGTGAGGAGTGAGGAGTGTAAAGTGCAAAGTGTAAAGTGTGGAGTGTAAAGTCTAAATTGTGGAGTGCGGAGTGTAAAGTGTAGAGTGTGGAGTGCGGAGCTTCCCCCATAGACACGGCGACGCCACAGGAAAACCAGAGACTCGAGACAAGACATGTGGATGCAGAAAAACAAGCATTTCGTACGAGACTTCCTCCAATTTTAACATTTTCAACACATTATCAAACAGGTTGGAATGTCACAAAGTGCCACGCCTGCCACGCAAAACGACATGACAACCTGCTTGAAAACCTTCGAAAAGGAAAAGTCTTGCAGCTTCCCATAGACACGGCGACGCCACAGGAAAACCAGCGACTCGAGACAAGACACGTGGATGCAGACAAAGCAGCATTTCGTACGAGACATCCTCCAATTTTGACATTTTCGACACGTCATCAAACAGGTTGGAATGTCACAAAGTGCCACGCCTGACACGCAAAACGACATGACAACCTGCTTGGACACATTCGAATAGGAGATGTTTTCCAGCTTCCCCCATAGACACGGCGACGCCGCAGGAAAACCAGCGACTCGAGACAAGACACGTGGATGCAGAAAAACCAGCATTTCGTACGAGACTTCCTCCAATTTTCATAATTGGCAACATAACAAAAGGACAAGTTTTGCAGCTTCCCCCATAGACACGGCGAGGCCACGGGAAAACCAGACACACGAGAAGAGACAGGTGGGAGCACCAAAACGACCATTTCGTGTGAGACTTCCTCCAATTTTCACACTTTGCAGCTTCAAAATCGACGTTTTCCTACGAGTTTTCCTTAGAACTTGAAAATTTGCAACCTCAAAATCGATGTTTCGTGCGAGGCTTCCGTCAATTTTCAGCACATGTCAGAAAATGCCACGCCTGCCACGGAATTTGCACCTTGTCACCACTTGACGCAGCCCTGCCAATGCGATTTACAAAAAACACGCAACAGGACACGTCTAAAGTGCTGCGCCTGCCACGAAAAATGACGATGGACACGTCCAAAGTGCTGCGCCTGCCACGAAAACTGCAACACATCTTCTGAAAACGTCGCAAAAGTATTGCGCCTGCCACGCAAAACGACTTTCGACACGTTCCAGAACACGTCTGAATGTCACGAAGTGCGACGCCTGCCAGGCGAAACGAAGCAACGACACGTCTGACACCTCCAAAAATGACCACCTCTGCAGAACTTCCCATAGGCACGGCCATACGGGGATCGCGCGAACGGTTGCGAACGGTTGCGAACGGTTGCGGACGGTTGCGGACGGTTGCGGACGCGGACGCAACGTCGAGCGAACACACCCTCAACCCCCAGACCCCCAGAGTGAAACGGAAACCCTTGCTACGCATTCGGGAAAAACATGTTTTTATCCCTTATGAATGGTGTGATTATTTTTGTTGGATTTAACTGGGGACCCTTTTATTGGTATAATTCACCGAGGGGTACCTACAGTCGCCTACACTAACCCTCAACATTCTCATGTTGATATTCCACTTTTGTACCTAAGCTATGGTGAACAAGTGGGTATTGAGTATGCACGGAGTCACTATCTCCAACCATCTCCAACCATGTCCACTGTGTATTGACGGACCAAAATGGAAATGGTGGGAAATGAATACCTACTACTTTTTCATTCAATGCGTTCTTGGGCTTGACCATTGAAAGGATTTTTTATGTGGAATATTGGATTGTTTATTCGATTATTTGATTATGTTTCTATATCAAAGGGTTTGATATCAAAAATACTGAATCATTCTTCCTGATTCCTGACTTGTGCTTCCCAAGCTGAAATACTTTATGAATCATAGCAACATACTCAATGTCAATTTTCGGGCCGCACAAGAGGAACGACTTTTTTGGTGGAGAATCATATATCGAACTGAGGATCGTTACACTTCGTGACATCCATGACATGTTGAAGCTTGTATAAAGCAATTAAAATGCCAAAGGTAGGAAAGTATAAAAAGTGGGACACTGTGTGGTAAATATCATCGAATTACCATCCTGGAAACATGTTTAGCAATCTTTTTTTGGGGTCAATTACTACATATTATGAACAAATTTTATAGCTAGCCAGTGCTTGGGAGGGAAGTAAGGAGCTAAAGAACTAGGGGTATCCATATTCCCAACAAAAAATGGAGAGCCAGTTGGCGCTACGAATTGAGTTTCCCAACCACATGATAGATTAGACAATGTCTGTCAGTAAACATCACAAGTGAAACATAACATGTTTTTGAAACAAACCAAGATTTCAACATTGAATGAGTTGTTTCAACACTTGTATGTACCAGAACGTGTTTGTGCATGTTTGTGCATATATGTATTTGCGGATATTACCATTAGGTAATTTAACATAGCCATGGAAAATGACCCACAAATTTAATGGCTTACCTATTATTTCAATGGTGATGTTCTGAAAGCTGTTTTAAAAAAAGGCATCACAGAGTTGTAAATGGAATAGCAATAAGAAGATCTATGGTTTATACATGGTTCTATATGGCTTATTAACCACTTACAGGACTACAGTCACTCCATGTTTCTTCCACCCTGCAGACCCTGCCATCGATCAAAATCAGGCAGCCCGGCAGTCTTCCGTGCGCATCCACGGCGAGATGTTGGGGCAATGCTCGGCGGCATGTGATGCCTGGGCCGGGGGCCTCAAAGGTTCGTGTTTTTGGCCGGTGCCATGGTCAACAGTTGGTGCCGGTGCCATTGCTAGATGGTCGTAATAGGGATATACAAATTTATGTTACAATGTATTAATGTATCATATACCATTTAGGGATATACATTGAAATTAATGGTAGATTAATGGTAGATTAATGGTAGGTTAATGGTAGATTAATGGATAATCCATTTAGATATTGTTGGAGAATCTACCATTTAATCTCCCTTAATGTATATCCCTATTAGTTGAGTTGGATAAAATGATAAACCAAAGCTGGGAGACTGTCATCAATCCACGATTAGGGATTTATATACATTTGTGTACCCATTTTTTACGGATTCCCAATGTGGGATGGATGCTGTCACTCAAGACCTGGTGGGCAATTGTGTGGGGATTAGCCAGCAATTCATCAGGAAGTTCAATGATAAAATCTGATAAAACAAAGGGAATCATACAAGTGAACACCATTTGAAATGAACTTATTCAGAAGATAGAATGGGATACAAGGATTAACCAGCCAATACATAAGGCATATCATGATTTTTTCCATGGGTGGTAAAGTAGCTTCACTTTTTTTCCCTACGACATTTCCAAGTGTTCTCTAGTTGGTGGTTTGGAACCATGGAATTTTATGACTTTCCATATATTGGGAATTTCATCATCCCAACTGACGAAGTCATATTTTTCATAGGAATTTTGTGACTTTCAATAATATATGGGATAATCCTTCCCAACTGACTTTCATATTTTTCAAGATGGTTAAAACCACCAACCAGTTAACAATTACGAATCGCTATTAACCACTATCAATGATGGTAAATCTAGTGGTAATGGTTTATTAGCCATTATCAACCATTGTCAATCACTATTAACCATCATTAGCCATGAAAAAAAACAGCATGAACCACCATTAACAGATGTTTTTTATCATTATTTTCATCACCAATAACCACCATAAAAAAGCCATTTGGTTGGTTTCACCACCATATTAACCGCACCTTTTCTATATTAACCACCATTAAAAAAACACTATTAACCACCATCAACTACCACTTAACCACTATCAACAACCCATTAACAGATGTTTTCTGTTTGCCCCGAGGTTTCTCCCATATCTTTGGACGAACCGCTACGGTTTCCTGCAGGTCACCGTGCTTTCACTGCTGGAAGAGGGCCACAGCTGCAGGCACGGATGGAACGGACGAGGATACAACCGGAATCCACGGGTGATGGGTTGTTTCATAGCTAAGTTGCTGGAAATATGTGGAAATCACCTGGTGAATTCTATGGTTTATCATGGTTTATGGAGGCATATAACTATAGTTACCGGGGTTTATGAGCCAACGTTCTGTTATTTCTAACTATTTATGAGCCAACGTTGATGTTTCCTTTTAGGTGACCCCTTAGGGCGTACATGGAAAATTGAACTATGGTTTGAGAATATCATTGAACCATGGGCCATTCAGGTGGTTTATACAGTTATGGCCATTTATTAGTTATAACTGGTTATTTCTATGGGATTATACATTCTATAAATGGGGTTATAAGTACTTATAAACCAATAAACATAACTAATGGGGGCCTGGCAGGGAATCATTGGAGACATTTGGAGACGGCCCACCACTGGATCCTTGCAGTTGCTCCACTACGTAGTGTAGCAAACTTGGGGTTTGTAAAGCAACAAGCATAACTTGGGGGTCTCCACCTTGCAAATGATAGAAACAATGTATATAATATATATAATGTAGGTTACAGATTAGTGTGGGCCCCCCCCCAAACAAATTTTGGGTACAGAATACAGTAAAAAAACCAAGGTACCGGGTACAGAATACGGTGAAATCAAAAAAAATTGATAGATTTAAATTGATTTCAATTTACTTTCAATTGATTTCAATTTATTTTGAATTGATTTGAAGTTACTTTGAATTGATTTCAATTTACTTTCAACTGATTTCAATTTACTTTCAATTGATTTGAATTTATTTTGAATTGATTTCAATTTACTTTCAATTGATTTCAATTGACTTTCAATTGATTTGAATTTATTTTGAATTGATTTCAATTTACTTTCAATTGATTTCAATTTACTTTCAATTGATTTGAATTTACTTTCAATTGATTTCAATTTACTTTCAATTGATTTGAATTTATTTTGAATTGATTTCAATTTACTTTCAATTGATTTCCATTTACTTTCAATTGATTTGAATTTATTTTGAATTGATTTGAAGTTACTTTGAATTGATTTCAATTTACTTTCAATTGATTTCAATTTATTTTGAATTGATTTGAAGTTACTTTGAATTGATTTCAATTTACTTTCAATTGATTTCAATTTACTTTCAATTGATTTCAATTTATTTTGAATTGATTTGAAGTTACTTTGAATTGATTTCAATTTACTTTGAATTGATTTCAATTTACTTTCATTGATTTCATTTACTTTCAATTGATTTCAATTTACGTTCAATTGATTTCAATTTACTTTCAATTGATTTCAATTTATTTTGAACTGATTTGAAGTTACTTTGAATTGATTTCAATTTACTTTGAATTGATTTCAATTTACTTTCAATTGATTTGAATTTATTTTGAATTGATTTCAATTTACTTTCAATTGATTTGAAATTGATTTCAATTTACTTTCAATTGATTTCAATTTACTTTCAATTGATTTGAAGTTACTTTCAATTGATTTCAATTTACTTTGAATTGATTTCAATTTACTTTCAATTGATTTCAATTTATTTTGAATTGATTTGAAGTTACTTTGAATTGATTTCAATTTACTTTCAATTGATTTCAATTTACTTTCAATTTTGAAATGATTTCAATTTACTTTCAATTGATTTCAATTTACTTTCAATTTACCTTCAATTGATTTGAAGTTACTTTCAATTGATTTCAATTTACTTTGAATTGATTTCAATTTACTTTGAATTGATTTCAATTTACTTTGAATTGATTTCAATTTACTTTCAATTGATTTCAATTTACTTTCAATTGATTTCAATTTACTTTCAATTTGCTTTCAATTTACTTTGAATTTACTTTCAATTGATTTCATTTTACTGCCAATTTACTTTCAAGCGACATCCCATAGAAATCCAATAGTAGTCCCAAAGAAATATCATAGAAATACCATGGAAATCCCATAGGAATCTCACAGAAATACCATAGAAAGATCATAGAAATAACATGGAATAGCATAGGAACCACAAAAGAAATCCCATGAGAATTCCAATAATAATCCCATAGAAATATCATAGAAACATCATGGAAATACCTTGGAAATCCCACAGGAATCCAATAGAAATTCCATAGGAATCCAATAGAAATACCATAGAAATCCATAGGAATCCAATGGAAATCCCATAAGAATACCATAGAACTCCCATAGCACCCCTTCAGAAATCCCATAGAAATCCTCCAGAAATATCATAGAAACATCATGGAAACCCCATAGGAATTCCATAGAAATCCAATAGTAATACCATAGAAATACCATAAAAGAAAAAAACTTTAGCAAAGGAAAAGGTAAAGGGAATGCTTGAAAAAAACATCACACCAGGAAGCATCTGGACACAATAGTGTACCCTCGAAACAAACCACACTATTGTGTATCAGGGTTGCTCATGGACTACCCCCTTGAAAAATTGTTTGAGTGATGTTTTTTAATTGGGTTTTAATAAGGCATCATATATTTTGGGAAACTGTGCATTTCTGAGAATTTCAAATGAAAGAAAGTAAGAAAGTAATTAAGTAATTAAAAGAAAAAACTTTAGCAAAGGAAAAGGTAAAGGAAATGATTGAAAAAAATCAAAAAATCATGACCTCAGGAAGCAGCAGGACACAATAGCGGACCCTCAAACAAACCACACTATTGTGTATCAGGGTTGCTCATGGACTACCCCTTGAAAAATTGTTTGAGTGATGTGTTTTAATTGGGTTTTAATAAGGCATCATATATTTTGGGAAACTGGGCATTTCTGAGAATTTCAAATGAAAGAAACTAAGAAAGGGATTAAGTAATTAAAAGAATCAACTTTAGCAAAGGAAAAGGTAAAGGAAATGATTGAAAAAATCAAAAAATCATGACTTCAGGAAGCAGCAGGACACAATAGTGTACCCTCCAAACAAACCACACTATTGTGTACCTGGATGTAATTTTCTGTGGAAGGCATCTGGGGAAAATTTCAATGATTCTGAGGAAAATTTCAATGATGGAAAATAAAAAGTAAAAGAAAAAAGCTTTAAAAAATGAAAAATGTTTGAACAACAAAAAAAGACCAAGACACAATTGTGTATCCTGACACAATGACACAATTGTGTATCCTGACACAATTTTACAAAATAATAAAAAAATATAATAAAAAATAATAATAATTAAATTAAAAATTATTATAATTAAAAATAAAAATAAAAATAATTTAAAATAAAATAAAAACAATAATTAAATTAAAAAATATTATAATTAATTAATTAAAAATAAAAAAAATAACTTAAAATAAAATTAAAAAAATAATTAAATTAAAAATTATTATAATTAATTAATTAAAAACATATTTAAAATAAAATAAAAAAATAATTAAATTAAAAATTATTATAATTACTTAATTAAATAAAAATAAAAATTAATTAAAAATAAAATAAAAAATAATTAAATTAAAAATTATTATAATTAAAAATAAAAATAAACTATTTTAAAATTTTAAAATAAAATAAAAAACAATTAAAAACTAAAAAAATGAAAAAAAACTTACACCAAAATCCTGTGGACACAAAACTGTACCCTCAATCATTTCCAGAGTTACAGAATAATTTTGAGGTCTGTGGACACAATTCTGTATCCCCACACTAATCTGCATCCCACATTATATACATATTATGTATATATGTATATATTATTATTATTGTTATTATTATTGTTATTATTACTTATTATTATTATTATACTTATATATATATGTATTTACAATGGTGATTCAAAGCAACTCCATTCATTGGTGACCCCCAAGCAATGTTAGGCTTATTAAAGGGCTATCAGCCACCAAGCACCAATGAGGGTTTATTAACCATCTAGGAATCTAGTGAGAATCCCATCTCCCTACTAATATGGTAATATTATCGAGGGCGACTCTAGACCCCACGACTAAAAGGCCGAACCTGGCCACTGTTGTTGGGGGGCTCACCGATCTGGGGCTGGCTGAGTACCATTGAGGATTTGGCCATGAAAACTAGGTATCTAAGCATCAGCTATAGGAAGTTCATGAAGGAAAAATGGATACAGTTGTGTCAGAAAAGGAGGACCACCAATTTCAGTCAATTCTGTCAGGTAAATACGAGAAAATGAGCTTTGAAACCATGAGAATACGATGTCACTACAACTGAATATCCTTAGCGGAAGCTCAGAACATGTACAGAAATAACGCCGTTGGAAAGGTGATAGACCCTGCCGGTTGTGTGTTGGCCCTTGAACTAGTTCGATATATCTACCATAAACCATAGTTTCAAATAATCTAGTTGCAAATCAACTTAGCTAATGTGGCCCACAACTTGCAACATATCATATCAAATTGGTGACATATCCCATTATATGATATATATATATATATATTGATATATGCCAAGTACATCCCAACTACATCCCAATTACTATACATCTAGCTCCACTTCCCATGAATTCCACATGAAAAATCCTAGAATCCTAGGATGTCTAATCTCAGTAGTTTTCGCGAATTGGATCCAATTGAATCTCAATTGGATCCCAATCAAATCCTTCTAAAATTCACAATTTCCCATTTATACCATTCAATCTCAATAAATTCATCCCAACAATTTCCCAGTGTTCATTATTTCCCATCAATCCCTCATTTCCCAATCAATCTAATTTAATCCCATTAACCCAATTCATTTAACTCTAGTTATAAGTATCATAAACCATACAAATTGTAATTTTGGGGATGGTTCACCTATTAATCTGGGTGAATTATAATATTTCACTAACCTGAATCTTGCAGCCATTTGGGGATGATTTTCCTAATGTAAACCATGATTCCAGGGTTCGGTCGCAGTGAGGTCGTTATAATTTACCCAAATTAATTCATCTAGTTCCAGTAACTATATAGTTATAAGTTGTAGAACCCCCGTTTGGCTTAAGACTGCTTTTACCGTTTTGGTGCAGGAGGGGGGGGGGGGTATTGGTGCACGGCTGGTGCGCGGAAAAGGAAAATAGGGGCAAGGGTGGGTCTGGGAAGGGAAAAATAGGTGCGGGAGTGGGTTCTTGCCAATCTATGGATCCAGTCAGGATCCCGTCGGGACCCAGTCGGGCACCAATTTTTGCATTTTTGGGCATCGCTTTTGGCCAGTCGGGATCCAGTCGGGATTCAGTCGGGATCCAGTCGGGATCCAGTCGGGCACCAATGTCGGGAGGCAGCCAAATTCATAAAAAATAGCATTTTTGCAGTGTTTTTGCATGTTTTTCGGTGATTTTGGCTGCTTCCCGACAGGTCCAAACGTGGTGCCAAAAATTCGAAAATTGGACTGGATCCCGACTGGATCCCGACTGGATCCCGACTGGCCAAAAGCGGTGCCCAAAAATGCAAAAATTGGTGCCCGATTGGGTCCCGACTGGGTCCCGAGTGGGTCCCGACTGGATCCCGACCCGCTTTCTTCAAAAAAACACTTATTTCCTTAAATTTGAGCACCGATTTTTGAAATTTTAGCACCTTGCCGTGCACCACCCCCCCCCCCTCCGGACCCCCCCCCCCCACCAGTCTTAAGCCAAACACGGGCTTGGCAAGTTATAAGTATTATAAACCATAGTTTGGGGATGGTTTGCCTATTAATCTCATTTTTGGCAATGTTTGGTGATTACAATCACCTCCCGGCTACGCTGTCGATGTCGATGGCAGGCTGCAGATGGATGACGCGCCTTTCAACGCGTTGATGGCGGCACTGGCGGAGGCTAGGGAGATTGCTGGATCTTCAATGGGATTCACCAACGAAATGGTGATCTAAGCATGGGATGTCATGGAATTTAGTATCAGAGAGGACTTGATGGGATTTAATGCGATATAGTTGCATATCATTGCGATATATCACCAACTTAATGGTAAATTAGGTCTTTTCCATGGAATTTTCCAGGGGGTCAACCAACCATGATCAACATAAGCAACTTAATACAAGATATTGCAAGGTGGGGCTTCCGTTGATGAAATCGTTGAGTTGAGTTATACAACTTGGTGAAGTGTTGTTTTTTTTTGAGGGCTGTAACTGTAGTTAATGGGTTTACAAACCAACTTACAACTGGGGGTTACCACCTTGTATGGGGATTATGAACCATATAGATTAGCATTGGGATAATTTTAATGGGATCATAATGTGAATTTGGGGATAAGCCTCTGCTAAACTAACCAAGAACCTATGGAAAATCAGCATTTTGAATTGATTGCCTGATGGGATACCATTTTTTGTGGTTTTAATGGGATCCACCAGGCGGTTTTTTCCGATCGCCAACTTGGTGAAAAAACTAGGGGAAAACCTTGATGAACTCTGGTTTATCCAATGGATTGTGGCTTGACTGTTGGGTTTATGGTTATGAAATTACCATAATCTGGTTGGTGGTTTGGAACATTTATTTTTCCATATTGGGAATCGTAATCCCAACTGGCGAAGTCATATTTTTCAGAGGGGTAGGTATACCACCAATCAGTGCATGTTTATGCCAAATATGAGCAGCCGACAAAATTAGCTGAAGACTAAAGAGCCGTAGGGAGTGGACTTGGCATGTTCAAATTTGAGTGAAAACCTGCACAACCGATAGGGGACCACCCACTTTGGCCATGTCCATTGCTAGTCGTTAGTAATTTTGTCCGCCACTCATATATATTCTGGTTGGTGGTTTGGAACATTTTTTATTTTTCCATATATTGGGAACTTCATCACATGTATATATGTATATGTATACCCCTTAAATATACAGAAAGGGACGCCACCAGGGCCCACAAATCACATACTTGCAATTTTGCTGATTTTTAGTTATTTTCTTTTTATTCTTGCTGTTATCAATGAATTCTATTGGAAGGATATGTCTATATGTATACATTTCATCAAATACACGTATCTATTCCATTTCCCCTGAAGGATTTATACAAGCATGTGTTTCAGTGACGCTACTCCAGGGGGGGGGTCGAGAAAAAAAAGAAATTGGCTTGACCCCCCCCCCACTCCCTGTGAGAAGAAAATGCGCAGGATGTGGCCAATGGGGACTAGATCGATGCCAATGCCAATGCCAATGGTACTAGTACAATACAAGATAGCAGTCTTCAAGTAGATATTGATGTCTCAAGAGCTCCTTGTGATATAGGCAACATGGATGTTGCATATGCCATAGCCATATGCTGTATCAGCACACCCAAGGTGCATAAGTGTTTAGAATGTCACTGTAGCCATATATATATATATATATTGATGAACTTGCATTTTCCTTGGTAGTACTACTGTATGCATCTATGATATGAATGGTGCATATCAGTAGTGCATGCCAATACATACACACATTTTCCACATGTACTTTGCATATGCAATGGAATTCTTCTAGGATTGACTGCAATAAAGACTCTTTGGTTGCAACTGACTTTGATCATAGGAGTTGGCACATGGCAAGGGCAACTCCAACTTACCCGTTCTCCAAACATATAGGTTTTTCCTGCATATTTCACAGTAATTTGCTATGCCACTGCACATCTATGCAGATACCCTGTTACCATAATTGTTTGGCTGTGCTTTTATGATAGGATGAGCAACACCCAAAAAGAATTAAGACTGTTTATAAAACTGGACAGAAAACAGCTATGACACAACACATTGGACTAGGAAGTAGCATCTCCCAAAATGCATTCCTATGGAAAGGGGTCCCTTCTCCATCCTTTTGATCAATACTCACTCCTGTTCTTAGCTCTTTGATCTATATACTGTATGAAAAGTTTCAGGTGTTGTTTGTGCTTTAGTGGGTGAATGGCTTCAACCAGTATGCAAGCGCATTGCCACAAGTGTGCAGTAGATATACAGTAGAAATGGCAGCTTCAAACATGCACTGATATCTAGAGGGTTTCTTGTGATAAAACCAATACATTTTTTTTGCAGATACCAAAGCCATTTGCTGTGTCAACACATCCAAGCTGCATACGCACTTTGAATGCAACTATTTTTTATATATACATTTTTCTTATATAGTACATACAGTTATGGAATGGGTGGCATGTAAGTCACCTATGCCCTTAAATGCACAATTGTTGCAAATTTTTCCTGCATATGCAATGGTATTCTTCCAGGTTTTAATGCAGCAACAGCTCTGTGCTTAAAATATTGGTTGATCACAAGAGTTGGCAGATTCCAAGGGCACTTCCATTTCCCCCTTGCTTCAGAAAAGGCGTTTTTCCTGCATATTCCATGGTAATTTGCGGTGTCACTGCAAATATAGCGGCATACATTTTAGTATCGTAAATGTACTCATGACTGTGGGTAAAACTTAAATTGTGCCAGTATAAGTTTATCATGGTATCCAAAAGGGCACAGAAGCAAGTAAAAGAAACACCTATGCAACCTTGCCAAACAATTGTATCTATAGAATGGCAGCCTTGTTTTGTGCATCGATGCAGAAAGTTACCATGAAGTATGCCAAAAACATCTTGCAACTACTTGAGCAGGGACAGTAGATTGGAATTTGCACTTTCATATGCTAAAAGAGTTCCACTGGAACTGTCGTGTCAACCAAAAGGCGACCTGGCAGTCCAATAGCAAAGACCATCAATGCAATTACCAAGTGCTATGTATATATATATATACACCATCTTTGCAATAGCTGTATACCTAGGTAGCACCTTTTTTAAATACATACATGAAGTACCAACTGACATAATGAATCTAGCTGTATACCTAGGTAGCACCAACTGACAAATCCTATGAACTTAATAAATATCACACTAAAGGTATGCGGTAAGTGACAAAAAAGCACAAAACATATGAAAAACACCAAAAAAACACTGAAAAACACGGGCCCTCACAACGTCCCACTCTCTAAATATACAGCCCCTGCGAGTCCAACTATTTGAATTTGTTTGGGTAGGCATTGCTTACTTGGATCGGGACATGCCGTAAGCATTGCTTGCTATAAGCAGGAAGGGGTGGCAGGGCTGGATTTTACAGGGCTTTAACCCCGCCCCCAAAAAATAGACTTATTGACAAAGAAAAGGCCAAGATAAAAAATGACAATCTGAATCGTGGATTTGCGGGTTTGTTCCATTTTGTTTCCGATTTGTAGTATGAAAACTGTGCTGACACCACGCAACTGCACCATTTTTTGGTCGGAATCTTTGATCAGGGCGGCGTCGCGGCATTGGAGCGCTCCTGGAGCGCTGGTTGGTTGCACGAGGTGCGACGCATCTGCAGACCTCAGGGTGTGGTGCTTCAGCTGCCCCCTTTGCTGGAGTTTCTGGCATCAAGATTCACAGCCACAAACTGATCAACACGATTGGTGGCTTGCCTGGGAGCCCATGCTTGGCCTGGTCCCAGGCACGATTGCGTTTTGACAAAAACGAAATTTAGGAGATTTGTTGAATATCTCGGAACTGAAAAAACAGTTGTCTTGGCGACTCCATGCCGTTTCATCGATGCACCAAGAAGTGGCTCGGTAGCCCAACTGACTAATATTTTTCAGAGGGGTAGGTCAGCCACCAACCAGTATTTGTGTTTAGTCGGCCTGGAATCGGCTAGCAAACAGCTGGCACTTCCCGGAAGGATGACAAGAGCCATAACTTGTTTTTAAGAACCCGCAAAATGGGGGGGGTTCTATAAATTGGGGGATCCCCAAAATGCTTGGTTTATAATGGAAAATCCTTTTGAAATGGATGATTTAGGGGTACCCTGATTTTAGAAACCCTCAAAAATTTAAGTTTACGACATTGTATCAGTGAATGTTAATCCAGGATTGATTACCCTCCGGTTTGTTCATTGGGATGATACCAAGTGAATTAGTAAGTACTTTACCTTTACCCTCTGGTAAACTAACATAGCTATTGAAAATTGTGATTCATAATGGATTTACCCATTAAAAATGGTGATGTTCCATAGTTATGTTAGTTTACCAGAGGGTATTTTTGGGGATCACCGACTTCGTCAAAATTTCTTTATCCGGGGCTGAACATTCGAATGGCAGCGGACGCCGTCAGTATGTCGGTAAAGTGTCAACTGTTTGTGCGCAAAAAAACCATGTTTACAGCAGGGAAAGCAAATTTGGTGCTATATTGTCCCATAAAAATGGTGGGTTAAGCAGCTGTAGTAGGGAATTGATGAGTGAAAAGGGATGGAATCGGACACAGGAAATGATGGAGTATCTATATAATATCTGGTTGGTAGTTTCAACCGTTTTTCATTTTCCATAATATATGGGATAATCCGTCCCAACTGACTTTCATATTTTTCAAGATGGTTAAAACCACCAACCAGGCAAGGTTTGGAGAATGGGGTGCTCCATTTTCATCGCTCAAAAAACAGTCATCATTTGTTTCTTGATTTGGCAATTACCAGAGGGCATACTCCATTTGAGATCCATCACTTTCCTTCATCGTTCTGGTCAGCAACCTCATCAACATCAAAAGATTGGCACCATTTGAGATCCTATCCTGTCGGCTATACGTCCCATTGTATCATGTAAATACATGTTGATACCTTTTTTTTGGTTTGTTTCATATCCCTGTGTCTAATTATATACCCCAGTTGAGTGGCTAAACGAGGTGGTGCCCCATAGTTACAAGTTGGTCTTTAAATCCCATGAATACTATAAGTACATGATATCCTCCATATAGAATTTACCAAGTTATTTGCGTTAACCTAGCTATCATAAATCAAGTATAAATCCCATTAAGATTGTATTTCTTGGTTAAATCACTCTTTTCCTTGCTGGTTTCATGTCCCTCTTTCCCATTATACCCCCTAGTTTCATGTCTTACCCATATGATAACCATATTATAACCATTATCTAGTCCAATATATCTGCCATAAAGCTGGCGAGTTATCCAAGCATACTATCCCATTCAACATGTCTCATCTCGTCTCATCTCATAATATAACTAGTATAATGTATAATCATATAACGGTATATTGTGGTTATATTATCTAGTAACTTGTAACTAGTCAAACCCATCATATCTTATAACATAACCGTAGATATTTCACTACAGTTATGGCCGTTTAGTAGTTATCACTGGTTACTTCTGTGGGATTTTACATGTTTTAAATGGGGTTTTATAAGTACTTATAACTGGTATGACTCGGGCCATAACTGTATTTACCCAGAGTTATGCTTTGACACCGCCTTTTTTCATCCCCAACCCGACCACGCCAGGGGCCCACCCCCGGCCCTAAAGCATGGCGATTCGCGGCCGCCGTGCAGCTGGGATGTAAATTTATCAAACTCTGGATGTAAAACCCTCATCTACTAGTGAAAACCTCAGTTATAACAATTCTCCTCATTGTAAAACCGGGATGTAAATGTGGATTCCAGTAATGAATCGTTGTTTTTATGGATGATTTTTGGTCCATAGGGATGTTCACTGGGATCTTAACCGTCCAAAAGGGTTTTTTGTTCACCAATGATGACCTTTTTGGATGATGATTCCAATTGACAAACATCTTTACAAGGGTTGTAACCAACAAGAAAATCAATTGAGGATTATCTTCTGGGTAAATTTTCATCACGACCTCACTGTTCTCCCGAACCCTGGAATCATGGTTAATAACGGGAAATCATCCCCAAATGGCCGCAAAATTCAGGTGAACGTGAAATATATTGAAATATTACAATTTACCCAGCACCAATGGAGGCTACAGAGTCAACAACAAGATAGAAATAGTGACCATTTTCGATATAATTTTGTGTTGTCTGGTGATTACTCTGTATGGTTTGATCTTGTTTTGGGGCTACCATTTACAATTCGCGTACTTAGGTATACTGATGGGCGGAATGAGTATTTAGACAAACAAGTTACAACTTATTTGTCCTTTCATTTAGGGTTACTTAATCCAATATCAATGCGCAGTTCAACCTCAAATTACGAAGGATGGAACCAGAAAGAAAGCCTGCTGAAAGGTTTTGAAACCGCTCCATCTAGTCTAAACTACTTTCTGGGACATAAGTGCTTTAGCTGTTTGTGGTTTTGTTTTGTAGTTGAAGGGATCAAATTGGAATCATTTAGAAACCTTCACAGGGCTTGCCCAACAGCGATTTCATACGATTTCGATCAGTGACAGGGCGATCCTTCAATTGGTTACCCAAATTGAGGCTCGGTATAGACATTTCCCAATGGGATACATTTTGAGATTTCAATGCTGGATGAGAAGAATTAGTACGGAAAGTAACCATCTAATGGATATTTGATGTTGAAATTTCAATGGATATTGTTTAACCATCTTTAGTCACTCGATTTGGGGAGAACTTGGGCCACAAAATGTTGGACCTGCGAAAAGTGAGTTGTGAGTTGTGCCCAGGCTATCCGAGATGAAACTGCTTCGTGTGGCCACTGCTTCTTGCTGGCAGGGAGTCTCCTGTGATGCATGGTGCTGCCAGTTCTTGGAGGTGTCTTCTGGTTGACATTCTCAGACTTCTCGGAGATTCACATCCCCAGCAGTGAAACATTAGGTAGTTTCATCACTACAATCCTTTATAGTTTTATGGTATACATGGAACATCACCATAACCAGCAAAATGTTTCATTCATATTTGGTGGACTACCAAAGATCGCCCATGTTAACAAGAACAAATGTATGTGTGTATATCTATAAAAAATATATATATATACACAGGTATTATACATACCTTAGCAGCCTTAGCAGGTTGTTTGACATCCATCTCACAAGGGGGTATCCTTGTGATATCCGTGCAAGGTGCCCCAGGTCGTCAGCTAATAACTCAGTGAACTCCTGGTTTCCAGTAGTTAGATGGCTGAGTGAAATTGCCTACAATGTAGGGCCCCCAAACGATAGCTAAGTTGGTGAACATAACTCTAATAACTATGGTTTATGATACTTCTAATTATAGTTTTTTGGTGGTTATAAACTAAATAAACATAGTTGGGGTACATTTGAAAACAGAAATTGGGAAGGCCCCTTGAAGTTCCGATTTTTTGATCATTTCCGAATTTCAGCTTCGCGGCCAGCCAATTTCTAGCAACTCTTAACGTACTTGTTTCGTTTGTGTTTTGACCCATGTAATGCTTCATTACAGTAGCGTCGCTGGTTTGCTAGGTGCAACTGTTTTTTCAACCTCCTTTTTTTCGGGGTTTTGTCTAGTGCTGTGCGGTGGAAACATCACGACAACATCATTCCATGAGCAAATTTTCAGCGTTTTGTTATTTTACTAGTTGACTCAGTTTCACTTCACTTGTCAATCAGATCTACTTCAACTGACCATGTCTTTTTTTTGACAATCCTTAGCCCTGGGAACCAAAGCTGATGGAAGCCGAGTGATTCTCACTCGCCCCCTTTGGCATCGGATTCCATGTACCAGTGAAGTGACCTGTTTTTGTCTCCAAGTGATTGGTACAGTTAAGGCCCCAAATACCAGTTATGTTTGTACTGAACTAACCCCATTTATAGAATGTATTTCATCCCATAGAAATAACCAGTTATAACTAATAGCCATGGCCATAACTGTATGAACTCCAGATCTCCAACGCTCGAGGCTCGATCTATTCTTTGCATACCCGGCCTGGTGAACGTTTACAGTTTGCGAAATGGAAAGATCCACCCATTTTTCATGGGAAAATCCACTATTTCTATGGCCATGGCTTCAATAGCAAACTGTTGACATCACCAGGCCGGGTACTCATCAGTGCCAGCTCATCACCGAGAGTTGCCCAATTACCCCCGTCCGAGCGTTGGGGCCCCTTATATCACTGGAGTTTTTCCAGGATCCAATTTATGGAGGCACGTAGTTAGTACCATATTTTGGGCGAAATTGGGGGTATATCCCCTGAAAACTAGGCCTGAAAAATTAGGCCTTATCCTCCAATTTAGGTTCCTGAAATGGCAACCTTTTGGGGGGGTCCCATGTAGAATCCCATGGGGGACACCCCTTGTTGTTTGATTTTGTACCCACAAAAGTGTTGGTTAAACTACCATGTCCAGCATGGGTAGCGGGATGGTAGGTCATCCCCAACTTGAAGCATATACACCCATTCTTGTTGAAATCATGTGAAGTCCATTGAAACCCGTATTTTTGATGATTAAATACCTGTTTGGGATGGCTAAAAATCACCATCTTGGTAGGTCGTCCCCATTAAATAACAACATAAACCAACTTAGAACTATAGTGACCCCAAAAAAGATACCGAACAGTTGCAAACCTAGAAATATGAAGTACATATCATCGCACATTCACATCTTGGTTTTAGACTTTGAAACGAACTAATAGAGACATGAGAGAAAAACCGGTTGTTCTATTCAACGTGATTCTTTGTACCTTCCAATAAATAAATTAAAATCAACCCTTGCATTTTCGGGCTTGGTTCAGATGAGTGAAACACAAAAAATGGGTAAACCTTTCAGGGCCCAACTGTGATTTTACCAGAGGCTAAGAATTATCCCAGTACAATCCCCATGACCAACCTATCATGTCAATTATTGGGGGAAATGAACCCATCATACCCCCCAACAATCATTAAGTACAATCCTCAGATATAGGCTTTTAAATTAAGAATCAATCGGTGCTTAAAAGCAAGGGTGGAATTGTTGAACCTGTCGCCTTCGCCACCGGACCTGAGGTGATCAGCTACAACGCCTGTCTGGCGGTGCCCAGATCGAGCTGGCCATGCTGGCCGTTGCTTGGTGAGAAACAAAAACAACCTGTCATGGGTAGCCCCAATAGCTGGATGGTTTATTTCATGGAGAATCACACCCCAAAATGGATGATTTTTTGGGGTACCCCCATGACTTCGGAAACCTCCGAATGGGGAAAAGTTGGGAAAATGGTGAAGACTTGGAAAAAAAAACGCATAGAATGGTAAACAATGGGGAGTTGACCTGAAAATGATGAAACATGGCGACATGTTGCGAAAAAACAGGGTGATTCATTCATCACCAGTTTCTGGAAGGTGTTTATAGTGATTTTATGAGTTTCATAGGGGTTATCAACCAATAAACATACTGTTTGGGAAAAACCACCTTGTAACTGATGTTTCCGTGGGTCGACTGGATGGATACTTTGATCATCTTTGATCCTTTAATCTTCAAACGCTATGGGGGAATTTACCAAGCAGCTAATTAAAAGATACTATCTCTTTTACAGGGTATCTAAGACTGGTCATTTAATGGTTTACGGAAACTGGTCTAAACATTTTTTTTAGTATAATGATGATTTAGTTATATGGCAAACATTTGATATAAATATTGTTATACGTATCCTGTTGTACGTGCATTTACTTCTAATGAATGCATGGTATGGCTCATGATTTAGTTTCATGTATTCGATGGGATCCACACCCACAGGCCATCCAGAAAAAGGAGGGTTTCATCAGGGAAAGTGGTGATTTAGCTGCCGCAAAATGATGGTACAGTGCAGATATACCCGGCCTGGTTATGTCAACAGGTTGCTATTGAAAATGGCCATAGAAATAGTGAGTTTACCATTAATAGCATGGTGATGTTCCATAGTTATGTGAAAGTTTACCAGAGGATAGTTTTTTTTGCCAACACTTTTCGCGCTACGCCCAAATGATTTTCAACCCGGGGTTCCGGCCATCGCTGGTTGGGTCAGATTTTTTTTCCGGCTGGTTGGGTCGTACACTGCGAGGTGAAGGGATTGATGTTCCGAAATTTCAAGATGTCTCCAAGGTGGGAATCTTACACTGTGGTAAACTAACATAACTATGGAAACTCACCATTTTTAATGGGAAAATCCACTAAACATGGGCCATTTTCAATAGCTACGTTAAATTACCAGAGGGTAGCCAAATGTAGAGATTTTGTCTACCCATGACGGATCCATGTATGGTATATATATGCTAACATAAAGGGGGTATATTGATGGGATCCATGTTACCATATATAGCATACATGGATCCTGTGGTTATTGGGTATACAACCAATGATGATCTTGTGATTTCAAAGATGTTCCCTCTTCGACGTTCGTCGACCCTAGGGAGGAGGAGCACTTCAACTGAATTGCGAAGTGTGAGGGCCAACAACGATTCGAAAATCGCCATACAGTTCATATAGAGGAAGTCCCAGACTTGATGGATTGTCACTTTGAAGCTCTTTGGAGCCTGGAACAAGAATATGCTGGTCCGGCCCAAGGAGAAGACGGTGGCAGCTGGGGGCAGCTTTGGTTTATGACCCCAGAAAAAGCGATCTAAGTATAGATACATCCGCCATAGATACGTGTTAGCCAAGTTGCAAAGCAACGTTGCCAACGTTTCGAATCCCCTCCTGTATACCTTTTTAGAAACCAAGCTGGCATGTAGCCATGAACAGGCCATCTGCTGTCTTTATTTTGCCACCTACGAGACCATGCCCGAAGTGATTCCCATGTATTCTTTATTGAGAATGGCTAATGTTCAAGTTTTCAAGTCTATCCGCCAAAAAAATCGAACTGAAGGCAGTCTTGCCATTGTGGTCTCAGGCAAGCAGACTTGGAAGGTTGTTTCTTCAGCCGGAAGAGTTTGTGCCTATTCAAGGCATGTCTAAGCTTGGTGATCTGGGCATATCTGGGCGATGCCAGACTTTTTATGAATTGTTAGCGTTTACATAATCTGTATATATCCATATATATTATACATACATTGGATTTGGAGTATCCATTTTCAGACAACGCCCTGAATTTCGACCTACATGTTTACATGGATAGTTGCGTATACTTTAATCATTTAATCATCTTTGACCCGTTTAGTGCTAAAACATTGGGAAACATGTACCAACCAGCAAATCAAGTACTTGTTTGCAGGGTATTGGAGGGCAAGTTTTTTCGGGTCAAGGATGATTTAAGGCAAATCTGACCAGGAAACCTAACGGCATTTCCCATTGAACATGGGGGGTGTTCCTAATCTGATTGGTGGTTTGGAACATGCTTTTTATGACTTTCCAAATATTGGGAATGTCATCATCCCAACTGACGAAGTCATATTTTTCAGAGGGGTAGGTATGCCACCAACCATTTTTTTTCCGTAAACCAATCCAATGGTCAAACCACCAGTTTATGACACTATAGGATTCCCAAACTTTCCTATAAGTTTTCCTACAAAAATTCCACTGGTTGGGGTTCCCAATCTAATGATCAACTATGGGACATTATAGGAACACTTTTCGTTAGAGGTTCTCTAATCGTGTTCCCAATTTTCCTATAACCCCCCTTTGATCATCAATGATTTTCCGATGATCAAACCTGTTGTCTCTCAGGTTTTCTTTGCATCTTCTCTTCCAACGTAGAACGCATTTCACCTTCGACAACGATACCTTTGGCGATGCAGGCGGGAACGGTGAGAAATCACCCAAAAATGGGGATTTACTTGGAAGTGCAGTTCACTTCAACCATAAGTGCAGTAAAATATACCCTCTGGTAAACTAATTAACATAACTATCATAGATGTCCTTTTCCCATTGGTTGGTTAATAGAGGGGTTTGTTTATCCCTTTAACAACAGGTTTGTTTGATGATAGATGGTATACCAAACCGGCCCCTCTATTTTTACCAAAAGGACATTATTGATAACTATTGAAATCACCACTTTTAATAGGTAAATCAACGAACTCACTGGGTCATGACTTCCATAGCTATGCAACAAAGTACTCGTACCAGAGGGTAGTGAAAGGTTACCATAGTTTTCACCACACTCGCTCGTTGGATCTGAATAGGGAAGAGCAGTTTCAGTGTACGAAGTGAATAGACTTCACCATCATTCCATGGTTACCCTCTGGTGTTGTCAAAATCTCTATTGAAAATGGCAATTTATAGTGGATTTTCCCATTGAAGATGGTGAATATCATAGAATATGGTATTAATTATGGTGAAGTAATGTAATTATGAATAGAAGATAGTATTAATTTCTATTCCATAAATTATTTTATGGGAATAGTGAATCAAACTGTTATGGAATATGACTACTCCACAGAAGTAACCTCAACTGCAGCCCCAAGTAATCAATCAAGAAACATAGAATGTAGAATGGGACAACATGGGAATATTTCAACATAGTTTGCTGTGGAATCTGTGGAGAATCAGCTGTTTTTTTATAGGTCATTCATCCACTTAAATGGATACAATTGGCCCAGGCTTTCCGTGATGTTCAACGACCTGATAAAAAAAAAACAACTCCTCCCAGGTAACGAACATGGGCTCCAAAACACCGAAAATTGCTGGTGATCCTAAGAATCTGCCATTTATTCTAACAGTGACCATAATAATCGGTGGAACTGATCCACTAACTGATGATAAAAAGAAATCATAATGGTGGAACTGATTGATCATAATGACTATTTTAAAATTAAATCCACTAGTACTTATTCAAAAATAATAATAAATGGACCATTAATTGATGATTTAATTTTAATGGACCATTAATGGTAAACCCTGCGGTTTCGTGCTAGCAGGTCCCTTACAGCAGACTAACGGGCACCCATTGCTTATGAGATTGCTTATGAGTTGGGTGATAGCTACTCGTAGTTACAACCTCTACACGTCCCCATCAACCGCTGGTTGCCCCCAAGTATGGATACTGATGACCCACGGCATATGGTATACGGTATGGGAGCCTGTCCTTGAACAATCAATTCAGTGTTTCAATAGGACAATCACTCAACGCCCCCCACATTTTGGAGCCAAAACCGTGTCAATTTCCCTTTAGCCAATCCACTTAAACTCTTGAAAATGCAAACGTAGTAGTTTAATCAGTCAATCCACATTTTTTGTGAAGATTGAACCCCCAACAGTTTTCAAGGCAATTCAAATTCCAAAAAGCAGTTCAGATATTTTGCGGGTAAAGACTTAAAACTTGTTTGACAAAAATTGTTAACCTGCAACCATATATTGTTTTTGTTTGTCTCTTTGTTGCCAGTGATGAATTCGTTTATGACCCCGTCTAACTTTATACATAACATTATATACAGTATATATTTATAATATGTATACAATATATATATATATATAATATAAATTCACCATAAATCCTAGCTAGCCCAGTTATTAAAGCAAACATACCTTTTTGGGGTGCCTTTCCAGCAGCAACCCACGAATTTCAAGCTTTGGTCTCTTGCTTTTTAGGCCTCGGAAGCTGTTTGCTCTCCCTGGGAGCCAAGCACTGGCGAATTTCTTTGGCCGCATGGTCGGCAAGAAGACTGAGGGTGGAAGGGTAGTTGACCAATAAGAAAAGTTTGGGCTTTTATGATAAATACCAAACAGGGACGTAATGAAGATGCAACAATAAGGCTTCAAGCGGCAAATAGGGCTTAAATCAAAACACGTTTGCTGCTTCAATCAGGAAGAAAACATGATTAAAGCAGCAAACTTTGCTGGATCTAAGCAACAAAAGTTTGGAGTTTGCCATCATCTCAGCAAATATGACCACGGCTGGGATGCTCCCAGTGGAGTGGATTTTTGCTACAACCGGTGTACTTATGGTTGTAGCACGCCCGGGATCTTGGGATCTGACCTCCGGCAGGCATCAAAGAGCCAGACAGAATTTAGTGAAAGTCAAGGGACTGCGGGCTCATTTTAATTAGTGGGTAGTGATGAGCTGTCATGTATGGAAAGACCCTGCAAGGTGGTCTTCTTTAAGTTATAGGTCTAGGTTGGCTTCTTGGATTTTGTTAACTCACTGACTATAATTGACTAGATAGTTGTGATTACCTTAAACCCACCAGTGGGCCTTTAGTCTTTAGTTATATGCCATCTTGGCAAATAAAGAGGGGCACGACCTTGTGCAAAGCGGTACATTCAAGTTGACGCAATTGGTGTCTGTTGCAAAGCAGGAAGAAAGTGGGGACAACAACAAGGGTTTATGGGTTTATGGGGAATACCAGCTGAAAACTTGAGGACCCCACTTTTTGCAACTGGGGATGCAGCTAACGTCAGCTAACAGGCTACCTGGAGCTTCCTGGTGTGTTTGCGCTCATCCCATAGCCTCAGTAAATAAGCGGCTTTCTATGCATGTGGGTCAAAACCCTTGTATCTGGGTCTTTGTGGTAAAACTGCTATTCTTTTGCGGATTTTCATCCTTCGAAGAACTGGATCCATGACTTATACTGATTGGTGGTTTGGAACATATTTTTTCCATATATTTGTCATCATCCCAACTGACGAAGTCATATTCTTCAGAGGGGTAGGTATACCACCAACCAGTGTAGCTTTAGTGTATTCTCAAAGTGAATGGAAGATGCATATTTAAATCGTAGGTGTCGGGTAGTTCATATGATATGGGTCCAGAAATGTCCAGAGTCCTGCATTTCAGGCCTGACGTGTTCTGACCCGTCCCTATGTTTCGACCCCCAAAATCACCGATCCAACACATAAACCACCAGGGTTTCGCCTTAGGAACTATCTTCCAATGCCGTGTTGGACCCCACCCAGTGCAAGGCTGGTGCTGCGAACCCTGACCGAACCCCAGAAGTGATGCGGACTTTGGGGAGAATCATCCTGCAAAAACAATCAAAAACATGGGAACAAAATTGAACTATTAGAGTCTGGTGGGTGGTTTAGAACATGAATTTTATGACTTTCCATATATCGGGAATGTCATCATCCCAACTGACTTTCATATTTTTCAGAGGGGTTGAAACCACCAACCAGGAGTATTTTGTCCAGGTTGATGATTGTAATTATGCTGAAGACGTTCAGAACTGAGGGTGGAGGTCTCATATGAACAGAATGGCTTAAGAAGGGTCACCTATATGATTGCGTCACTGTAGATTATGGTTTGGATATGGGGAAGCTCCCCAAAGCGCCTAACATTTATAAGCAGGATGATCGGTGTTCAGGGGTTGAAAATTCCATGGGTGTTACATCGCTTACATCCCCATCTTGTCTAAAATTTCCTCATCTCCCTCCGAAAAATCGTGAAACCATGGTGAAATCAAGGTGAAATCAAGCTGCGCTACAAGTCTACAAGTCACTTGTATACCATGGTTATGTTGAAACCACCAGTCATCATCCACATTTGTTTGAATTTGTTTGAATTATCATCATTGTCTTCCCACATTTGTTCACTGTATTTCATTTGGATATTTGAATGGTCGGTTTGATCCTCACTTATATCCCTATGTCATGGTGCAAACTAAGATCTGCACATAAAGATTTAACCCACCTGAAGTTAGCCCCTAAGACTTCCACCCAAGATGGGAGTTAGCCACTTAAAGGTTAACTCCCTTGGTTTTCTGTGTTCACATTGATCCAGATATCAGCAGCATTCCAGGCGCTCCTCAGTTGGCTTCCAAGCCCTGTAGTGGTTCCTGGACTTTTGGCTAAGCTGCGGCCCTTTACACAGGTGGTGAATGGGAACGGTGAACGGCTGGCCAGGGTGTAGTTGACGAATATAACCATAGGAATTGAACCCCCATAAGTTGAGATATGGGACCCCTACAAGTACTGGTTGGTGGTTTCAAACATTTTTTATTTCCATAATATATGGGATAATCCTTCCCATTGACTGATATTTTTCAAGATTGTGAAAACCACCAACCAGAGTATCTAAAAGTAATTATTGTATCCTTATTGAACCTCTCATTATGTAATGGTGATAACTCCGGGAACTCCAATGTCGAACCGCAAAAAATGGTCAAACGACAATATGAAACATAGCTATATCCAATAGCGTAAAGTCATATTCCATCATATTCCAAAACATATTCCATCTATTTCCATCATATTGAGAATCTGGTTGGTGGTTTGGAACATTTTTTGTTTTTCCATATATTGGGAGTAATAATCCCAACTGATTTTCATATTTTTCAGAGGGGTTGAAACCACCAACCAGACTAGTTCGTCATATCTACCATTTTTACCATAGTTTTTTCAGCCACTGAAATAATAAGGCAACTGAGCGCGAGCTCGACTGGGGGCCCCATCCTGTAGGTATATCAAGAACATTCCCATAAATGGGTTTAAAAATGGCATTAAATCCCACTATCAAAGGAAGTTGGGAAGCAATACTTTCGTGTTACGGACCAAAAGAACCATGAGACTTGACATTGATGAAGGGCGGTGAAGTGGTGACGAAGGGAAGTGGTGAGGAAGGGAAGTGGTGACGATGGGAAGTGGTGACAAAGGGAAGTGGTGACTAAGGGAAGTGGTGTCTAAGGGAGTGTGGTGAACGAAGGGAAGTGGTGACTAAGGGAAGTGGTGACTAAGGGAGTGTGGTGACTTTGGGAAGTGGTGACGAAGGGAAGTGGTGACGAAGGGAAGTGGTGAGGAAGGGAAATGGGGACGAAGGGAAGTGGTAACGAAGGTGACCAAGGGAAGTGGTGAGGACGGGAAGTGGTGACGAAGGGAAGTGGTGATGAAGGGAAGTGGCGACGATGGGAAGTGGTGACGAAGGGAAGTGGTGACTAAGGGAAGTGGTGACTAAGGGAGTGTGGTGAACGAAGGGAAGTGGTGACGTTGGGAAGTGGTGACTAAGGGAGTGTGGTGACTTTGGGAAGTGGTGACTTTGGGAAGTGGTGACGAAGGGAAGTGGTGAGGAAGATAAGTGGTGACGAAGGGACGTGGTGAGGAAGGGAAGTGGTGACGATGGGAAGTGGTGACGAAGGGAAGTGGTGAATAAGGGAAGTTGTGACGAAGGGAAGGGGTGAGGACGGGAAGTGGCGACGAACGAAAGTGGTGATGAAGGGTATGCTGCAAAATGCATTGTAATGATGGGCTTTGTTTTGGGGAGGAAGCCGGAGCACAAAACCTTGCATTTTTCCGTGTAAAGGGGCTGCAGCCAGCGATGAAAGGTACCTCGTGTGTGCGGCGGGTGCGGCTGCGGCCGTTTCTGTCGCGAATTGGTTCCTCCTCTGTGTTCTGCAACGACGAGTGGTTGCGTCTATGTGCGTAGTTCTTTTCGTTTCTTGATTGAATCTGTGGTTGCGGATCGCAGTGGAATTGCTGCATGATTGTTGTCATCTGGTGCTGCCACGTGCGTAGATCTGTGCAGGTTTGCGACGTGATGCTGCAAAACGCATTGTAATTGGCTGCGTCAAGGTTGCTTGGCACGGCGGCTGCATGCGTAATACTATTGTCTTTTGCAGCTGGACATCGTAAATCGTATTGGAATGGCTGCATCAAGGCTGCGATATTGATTTGTCAGCAGATTTTCTCAATTTTGGCGCGAATAATTTTCCTTTTAAAAATCATTTTAAAACTTGCTTCAAAATCGTCTTTTTTTTCGCTTTGGCGTCGAGATCCGGTTGTGGTCAGTCTTTGCAGATCGCATTGTAATGGCTGCCTCAAGGTTGCTTGGCACCGCGGCTGCATGCGTAATACTATTGTCTTTTGCAGCTGGACATCGTAAATCGTATTGGAGTGGCTGCATCAAGGCTGCGATATTGATTTGTCAGCAGATTTTCTCAATTTTGGCGCGAATAATTTTCCTTTTATATAAAAATCATTTTAAAAATTGCTTCGAAATCGTTTTTTTTTTCGCTTTGGCGTCGAGATCCGGTTGTGGCCAGTCTCTGCAGATCGCATTGTAATGGCTGCGTCAAGGTTGCTTGGCACGGCGGCTGCATGCGTAATACTATTGTCTTTTGCAGCTGGACATCGTAAATCGTATTGGAGTGGCTGCATCAAGGCTGCGATATTGATTTGTCAGCAGATTTTCTCAATTTTGGCGCGAATAATTTTCCTTTTAAAAATCATTTGAAAAATTGCTTCAAAATCGTCTTTTTTTCGCTTTGGCGTCGAGATCCGGTTGTGGTCAGTCTTTGCAGATCGCATTGTAATGGCTGCGTCAAGGTTGCCTGGCACCGCGGCTGCATGCGTAATACTATTGTCTTTTGCAGCTGGACATCGTAAATCGTATTGGAGTGGCTGCATCAAGGCTGCGATATTGATTTGTCAGCAGATTTTCTCAATTTTGGCGCGAATAATTTTCCTTTTAAAAATCATTTTAAAACTTGCTTCAAAATCGTCTTTTTTTTCGCTTTGGCGTCGAGATCCGGTTGTGGTCAGTCTTTGCAGATCGCATTGTAATGGCTGCGTCAAGGTTGCTTGGCACCGCGGCTGCATGCGTAATACTATTGTCTTTTGCAGCTGGACATCGTAAATCGTATTGGAGTGGCTGCATCAAGGCTGCGATATTGATTTGTCAGCAGATTTTCTCAATTTTGGCGCGAATAATTTTCCTTTTAAAAAGTGCTTCAAAATCGTATTTTTTTCGCTTTGGCGTCGAGATCCATCCGGTTTTGGAGCTGCAATTCCTGTTGTGATTATGTACAAGAAAGCTTCTCTGTGTAAAAACTTTTTTCTGTAAAAGCTTGCTGAGTGTAAAAGATTTTATGTGTAAAAGCTTGCTGTGTGTAAAAGCTTCTCTGTGTGTAAAAGCGTCTCTGTGTAAAAGTTTCTGTGTGTGTAAACGCTTGCCATGTGTAAAAGCACTGTGTGTAAGTGTTCTGTGTGTAAACGCTTGCTGTGTGTGAAAGCTTGCTGTGTGTAAAAGCTTCTTTTGTGTGTAATGTTTGTTGTGTGTAAAAGCTTCTCTGTGTGTAAAAGCTTTTCTGTTTAAAAAGCTTGCTGTGTGTAAAAGCTTCTCTGCGAAAGAACTTGCTGTGTGTAAAAGCTTTCGTTGTGCAAGCTTGTTTAAAAAGCTTGCTGTGTGTAAAAGCTTCTTGGCGAAAGAACTTGCTGCGTGTAAAAGCTTTCTTTGTGCCAACTTTGTATCACAAAGTAATACTGGGACGTACTTTGTGCAAGGTTTGTAGTACAAAGTAGTACTGGGACGTACTTTGTGCAAGCTTTGTAGTACACAGTAGTACCGGGAAGTAGTTTGTGCAAGCTTTGTAGTACAAAGTAGTAGTGGGAATAGTTTGTGCAAGCTTTGTAGTACAAAGTAGTACTAGGAAATACGTTGTGCAAGCTTTGTAGTACAAAGTAGTGCTGTGAAATACTTTGTGCAAGCTTTGTAGTATGAAGTAGTACTGGGAAGTGCTTTGTGCAAGCTTTGTAGTACAAAGTAGTACTGGGAAGTGTTTTGTGCAAGCTTTGTAGTACACAGTAGTACTGGAACGTGTTTTGTGCAAGCTTTGTAGTACAAAGTGGTACAAAGTAGTACTGGGAAGTAGTTTGTGCAAGCTTTGTAGTACACAGTAGTACTGGAAGTAGTTTGTGCAAGCTTTGTAGTACAAAGTAGTACTGGGAAATATTTTGCGCGAGTTTTGTAGTACAAAGTAATACTGGGAAATACTTTGTGCAAGCTTTGTAGTACAAAGTAGTACTGGGAAGTGCTTTGTGCAAGCTTTGTAGTACAAAGTCGTACTGGGAAGTGTTTTGTGCAAGCTTTGTAGTGCAAAGTAATACTGGAAGTGCAAGCTTTGTAGTACAAAGAAGTGCTTTTTGCAAGCTTTGTAGAACAAAGTAGTACTGGGACGTGCTTTGTGCAAGCTTTGTAGTACAAAGTATTTTGTAAAGACCGTTCTGTGTAAATGCATCTGTGTCTCAAGCTTTCTGACGTGCAGAAGTGCCGAGATGAGTGGAGACTAGCTTCGGTGAGATGAGAAAGGTTGAGCTGCGCTCAGATAGCGTGAAACTAGCCAAGAAGAACTTAGCTGACATATGGGAAGACATGAAATGAGATGAGAAGAGCTCAGATGAGATGAGTTGAGTTGAGATGAAGTGCAAGTGTGAAGTGTGGAGTGTGGGGTGTGAAGAGTGCAAGGTGAAGTGCGAGGAAAGTGTTTGCTTGACGTTGCATTGCACCGGGGTCGCGCGCGAGTCATGTTCTTGGACAGCAACACTGCAACAGCTTCGCACAAAGCACGCACACACGGGCCTGGCCGGCGCACGGTGCATGCAAGTTCTCTGGGAAGTGATTCATGGAAGCTTAGATGACATATGAGAAGAGATGAGATGAGAAGAGATGAGCTGGGATAAGGTGAGAAGAGCTCAGATGAGATGAAGTGTGGAGTGTGAAGAGTGCAGTGGGAAGTGTGGGGCGTGAAGAGTGCAGTGTGAAGTGTGGAGTGTGAAGTGTGGAGTGTGAAGAAAGCAGTGAGAAGTGAGAAATGTGAAGTGTGGATTGTGAAGTGTGAAGTGTGGAGTGTGAAGCGTGGAGTTTTAAGAGTGCAGTGTGAAGTGAAGTGTGGAGTGCGAAGAGTGCAGTGTGAAGTGTGAAGTGTGGAGTGTGAAGTGTGTAGTGAGGAGTGTGGAGTGTGAAGAGTGCAGTGAGTAGTGTGAAGTGCGAAGTGGAGCTTCAAATGTGACATGTGAAACAGGACACAACTTTCGCAGAATGCACGCACGCACGGGCTTGGCTGGCGCACGGCGCATGCAAGTTCTATAGATGAGAAAGGTCTTATATATCCCTAAGGCAACTTCCGCCCCGCCTATCATATATATATATCTCTGTTCATATCATGTATATCAATGTATATATATATATATATTGATATTTATATGATTATATTCCCATTAACCCATGGTTTTAGTATTGAAACCTGTGGTTTTGGGGATCCCCCCATTTTAGGAAACCCTCCATATATCCCATTTATCACTGCTTAGATTCGGGTCTTTGCCTCAAACCGCCGGGTCCACCACCAAGTCTGCAGGACTGGACTGCTTCGCGGCGCAACGCAGCAATGGCAAAAAGATGCCGGTGGTCGTGAGGTCTTTATAATATCCATCAGCCTATAATGCAAGATGGGGGGTTCCACAGTTATGGCCATGACTATTAGACTTGATTTTAAATAGGATTATACAATCTATCAATGGGATTGTAAGTACTTATAACTGGTAAGCATCAGCCTATAACGCAAGATGGGAATTTTCCAGTGGGGACCCCAATAGCTGGATGGTTAAGACATGTTAAGAATGGAAAATCTTATTCAAATGGATGGTGTGATGGTACCACCATTTTAGGAAACCTCACTTTCACTGGCCATCTCAGGAACCTAAATTGGGGGTACCTACCATGCATAAGGCCTATGTAAGGCCTATGTAAGGGGATACACCCCCAGAATATGGCCTTATATGGTACAGTACCTCCATTTTAGGATCCTGGAATGACCATTGAACACAATTTGCTGGCTAACTATGGTTTATAACTACAATAACTATAGTCTTAGCGGGGGTTGAATTGGAATATAAGGAACAACATGGGAATATCATGGGAATATTAGCCACTGCAACCTCCACTGCACCAGTATCCATCACTATGAAATATGTGGATTCCATGTGGTTATCGAACTATGGTTTATAGGTGGTATATCGAACTAGCTAATGGGGTTTATAAAAAAAAACTATTTATAACTAGGGGTGCACCACCTTGTACAGTATTTGTTGAATTGTTTGGTGCCCTCCCCAACCAAGAGGACAGTAAGGGTGAATATATTGCCGTTCTGTCCACTGATATATCAACCACCTATCGATATGTCACCTGTTAATATGTCATATTGATGTGTTACACACAAGTACAGTATGGTGATATATTCTCTAGAAACCCTAGCTAATGTAGTTATAAAGCAACTTAGCTAACGAACTAGGCCACCATCTTGTAATATAAATATATAAGATATCCGGTTGATAAGAAAAAACACCGAATAAATTCCACTAACATTCCCCATGGTTAATATCCCTTTTAGATGGTTGATTCAAGAACCTCAGGAAATCAACCATAGGTGAGGTGGATTC